CCACGTAGAATTAAGGCAGTTCTGAAGGCGAAAGGGGGTCAAACACCGTATTAGTATGGTGTTCCTAATAATCCTTTAGATGAGTGTATGTTTAGTATATTAAATGTTTCAAGGCAGAAGTTAATCGTTACAATCATCATATTTGAATGAACAGTGTTATCATAAGTTTCATTATTAATTACTGATTGAATTTGATTTTTCTTTCACACCATTTCTAGTAATCAGCTAATAATAGTTTATTTTAGGACCCTCTTATTCCACACGATTACCATTTTTAGTTATCAACTAATAGTGGTTTATTTCAAGTGTGTCACATAGCCTCCTTAATGTGAAAAAAGTGTTTCAACTCAAATGTTGCCCAGGCATCCTGTTCATGACCACCCCTGAAACTACTTGGTTATATTCTGTGAATTAGGTATGTAGTCCAAAATAAAGGAACACAGGGTTTATTAGAAAACACAGGACATCAAAGCACATGCAATGTGAATGACCGGACTGTGGAAACAAACTGAAACGTGGACTAAGTACATTGAACTAATGACAGCAACAGGAAACAGCTGGTGAACATGGGGAATCCACATGGGGTAGTTGAGGGGGTGTGGCACATGGGAAGGTAGGACGAGCGGGGCATGACATTACTCCCCCCAAAAGGCGCGAACTCCGGGCACGCCTAAGGGGAGCGAGGAACCGGACTGGGAACACGGGACCTGGATAACAAAAGCAAAACATCAACGGGGCACCGGGAACAAGATGGATACACAGAACAGGGTCAGAGACAACAAGCCAGATAACCACTGACAAATAACAGGAAAGGCAAACAGGCACAAGGGCACCAAAAATGGAGACACAGGGGGAACACCAATGAGAGGAACAAAGGGACCAGCAGTGAATGAAGGCACAGAGGGACGGGGAGCAAACACAGGGGGCATAAAGGCAGAGGGCAAGGAGGCAAAGGGTGGGGGGAAATGGGAAGCCGGAGGGAACCCTGGCAGGCGAGGGGTGGTAGCCGCAGGGGCAGCAGGCGACTGCGAGGCCAGAGTCTAAAGGACCCTCAGCGAGCGCGAAGGAGGAGCATCGAAGGGGGTGAGGAGGAAGGCGGAAGGACCAATGAAGAGGGCGAGGAAGAAGATGAAGGGGACACAGGCAAAGGGGAGGAGGGAACAACAAGCCGAAGATGGGAGACCCGCAGGTAACCAACGAGGCGTCGGAGGCAGGACCACAACCAGCCAACGAGGCGCCACAGGCGGTGAACAGGGTCACAAGGCGACCTCTGAGCCAAAGCCAAGGGGACCACAGGCGAGCCAGGGGGCAGGGCAGGCAGGACCCGACCCCGGCGCAGGTGTCACCTCCCTTTCTGGGAGACCAAGAGGCGGGGACCTGGCTGGGATCTGCCCTGCTGTGAGGGTGGTGGTGACGTGGGAGTCTTTACAGAGGGGGTCACCAGGGAGATCAAGGAGATCACCAAGGGGTCCCACTCGAGCTCCTCCTCCAACTCCTCGACTAACCTCAGCTGCGCAGGCGTCAGGCACCAACTCGAGAAGGGTGGAGATGTTGGGCGTCCGCGGCGAAGTGGCAGACCCCGGAAGGGCTTCAGACATGCCCCCCCCATTTGCAACGCTTCCGCTTTTTCCGCCGATGAGATGCAGCAGGGCCGAAGGAGAGTTCAGGCTGCCTGGATGGCAGGGGAAGAGGCAATCCACTGTCCAGGCCCTCTGCTGGAGCATAGCCTCAGCCACCACGCTCCACAGCTGCAGCAGATTCTGCCGTAAGTCCTCCGTGAGGTTCGGGTCGGTAGATTGAGACATCGACTCCAGGAGGTCTCTCGTCTGGACGGCAAGAGCTCGGGTAGTGGGATCCTCCTGAATATCTGGCCGGTTAAGCCAGTATAATGCCTTGGCCACCAGACCGAAATACTCAGCCTCGGTTAGGTGGAGCGTCTTTTTAGGGAGTCCAGTCATTCTGTCAGGACTCGGGGAGACACGGAACATGGAAATATGAAATCAAGTCCAAAATAAGGGACCGCTGGGTTTATTAGGAAACACAGGACATCATAGCACACGCAACGTCAATGACCGGATTGGGGAAACAAACTGAAACACGGACTAAATACATTGAAATAATGACAGCAACATGAAACAGCTGGTGAACATGGGGAATCCACACGGGGTAGGTGAGGGGGCATGGCACATGGGAGGGTAGGACGAACGGGTGCATGAAAGTTTTTAAGCAAGTCGAGCATGTGGGAACCTGGAATAGTTTTACTGTTAAAACTTCCCACGTGGGTTCCACGATGTGACGTCTGGGTTTTCAAACATTTTGCCCATCATATATTCAACCCTTTTCTTGCTGCGCTGTGAAGCATTTTTAATGATGTCAGCGATGATGACATCCCCAGCGGGGACACGTGCGGTCGTGACAATGTTGACACTTTCTTCTGGGGAAGGTGGTGATGCTAGTATCAAAGACACAGTGTCATCATCACCTTGCCTGGCCAAAGCCAAATATCTCTGCAACACCCACAGACCTTTTCAAATGCCGACTTTTTATTCAGGTAAATGTTTTGCTTCTTGTTTTATTTTAGCTCTTTAGGTCTGGACCTCAGTGACCTCATAGCTGGCTACAGCCCTGACTTGTGTAAATCTTCAGATTCAGTCTTTATTGCGACAGTGAGGTTACAACCAAGTCTGGACACTCTGCAGAAGTGTGTGTTATGCCATGTTACACACATTTTCTTACACCTTATCAGACACTTTGTCACAAGGAGGTCCTTCAGCATTATCTTTTCCTTTTTCCGATAGCCAGCTAGGCGCAGGAGGTTTACGCCACCGCATCCAATCATTTTCTTACTTGGCTCCTGAGCAGGGGCGACCTCACGTAGCAAATATGTATACATAGACAGTCTAAACAAGAAATCAGAGTAACCACACATTTGTAAAAACTGTAAAATGTGACTGCAAAGCATTGCATGTGGTTTTCAGAACTGTTTTTTGCTTCTTAATGCTGGCCATCTAGTGTAAGTAATACTTGGAGGACATCAAGGTCAAATGCATCTGGTCCCCTAACAGAACAAATGGCCCCAGTCTGCCCCCCCCCCCCTGCTGAAATGGTCTAGAACTGCCACTGCTCCTGAGGGTGCATATTTGTGGTGCAACTGCGCTTGGAGTGCATGCGCCAGTACAAGGCCCAAAAACATTTATATCTGGTTACGATGATGTGAAGCAGCAGCATCCGGAAACTCCTAAAAAAGGTTATATTCCACTACAAACTATATTGATTTAATGGTCGTCGATTTAATGGCATCCTCCTTCGTTTTTGTAATTCCAAATTATGTGTTAAGTTTAACCTTTGAGTTTTTGCGTCTCCTATTTTTATTTAGCATGAACGTCCCAGTTCTGTTAATGGCCATGAGTTATAAAAGTTGCCTGTCCAGACAGCCCAGGAACTTGGCACCAGGTTCCAAAACTTATCAATACCTATGAACTGAACTGAATGCCCATGTTCAGTGATTTCAGTGATTTATCTTGAGTTTTCTTCCTAAAATTACCAAGAAGTGTGGGAGGCGGAAAATGGCAGAGGCGAGCGAGGAGGTCAGGAGGACAGGGCGTGCGTGAGGATGTAGACGGCGTGAGGTAGAACATGTTTATGCGACTTAGAGCTTGCTAAAATAACAGGAAACACCTGTCTGCTTGAAACCATTACCAGAAGTAATTGTTAAACGGAGATGCATATATATAATTGTATGATTATTATATGACCTTACTGTTTCAAACTTCTGATGATGCAATGATTCTGTAGCAGGCTGTAATGCTTAAAGTGCAGAACTAGTATATCTCAAGAGGCCCAAACTAGAGTATAGATCTAAGTTTGAGAAGTAAGCTGTTGCAACATAAAACAATATAAATAGTCACGGGGAAGGGGGCTTGAGGGACAAGTGAGATGCAAGGGTGAAAACAGCCTCAGGGGACGGCTGCAGGGAAGGTTAATTCTGGTATTGTCCTGATGGTCACTGATAACAGGGTAACCACAGTCTAAATTCTACCACTCAGCCACCCCTACCCTGATGATCACCAATAGCAAGGTGACCATAGACTAATTTCCACTGCCCAGTCACCTCCCATATTGATTACAAGATGCTTAATAATTAATATGCTGATATGTCGCAATTCTTTGCTGATGTGTTGCAACTTTTTTGCCTATAAAGGATGTATCCACCTGTTGTTCGGGGAGCAGCTGACAAGATGCATGAAAGATTGCTGAGTGACTGTTCCCAAAAGCTTTGGTAACGGTAATAAAGTATTACTTATACCACGTCTCCAAAAACGATCATTTTCTCATCAACGGACTCGGTAGAGCGGTTGACTCCAACAGAAGGCTAAACAGGTTTTTTAAAAACGGAACTTTTCATCTGGGTGCGTACAACTTCCAACTTTTCCATGCACTGTGCAGAGCTTGATTACTCCCCCGTCCTTAGATAGGACGTTGCAAGTCAAATTCCACAGTCAGTGTGTGTTGATTTGTTATAACACCCCCTTCTCCCACACGCAGACAGACCCTTCTCACTTTTTCAGTGCGAAAATACTCGGGGCTAAAATTAAAAATATTCTGGGTTAACATGATCGTACCTAACGACGCCGATGCTGGCGAGACAGTCTTAAGTTTATAGGTTTATATTCCATAAGTAACGCGCGGATTCATTATAAAAGATAAGGAACGGTTTTATTCGTGTGTGTGTGTGTTTTTTTTCGGGGGGGGGGAGGGAACCGTCCGGCTGAGGGCGTGTTCAGGCGCGAAAGTGACGCAGACGCATTAGTCTATTGTCTCTCTGCAGGAGACCCCACCAACGGAGTTGGGGTGGAGGCTTGCAGCGTTAGGACGTGAGTTCATTTTATTGAGGTTAGTCTGGTGAGTTTGGATGCGGAGGAGCGACTCTCAGATTGGACGCTGGATGCCCCGTCGGCGACATGTGAGTTAGAAATTGAGCTGTGCTTAACTTAAACCGCTGTGACCGGCTCTGTTCGGTTTAAAATGTTACATGTTTAGAAACAGGGTTGCAGGCTCTCATGCATCCGGCGTTAGGCTCACACCTTCGGACTCTCACGCGAGAAATGTTACGACAAATCTATATTATTCGGTTATAAACCTAAAATTAGCTGCATGAAAAGCTTTGAGGTAGATTGCAAACCCTACAGACTTTACAAGGTAATAAAACTGTTACACACATGCAAATGCGTGTATATATATATGCGCATGTGCAGTCATTGGTGAATCGGCATTGAATAAAAGGAAACAACTTAATAAAGGCAATTAAATTAACTTTGCATGTTGTAGCAAGCCTGTCAGTGCTCTTCGTCGCCCATAAAATAGGCTACCAGCAGTTCCTGAAGGAAATTCGACTGTTTACATATCGATGATTTTACGTTTTGCCTTAGTCCAGGTGTGTCCAACTCCAGTCCTGGGAGGCCGGAGTCCTGTGTAGCTTAAGTCTTTCCCTGTTCCACCGCAAATGATTCAACTCAAGAGCTGTGTGGTAATTGGCACAAGGAATTGAATCTGGTGTGTTAAATGAGGGGGAAACCTAAAAATGTGCAGGGCTCCGGCCCCCCAGGACTGGAGATTGACACCCCTGCCTTAGTCGGTGATTGTCAGCAATCATGAATTCGCTGCCATCGAGGAACGGGCTGCAGTGGTAAAACGAGTCCAGTAAAGCTTTAAAAAGTTAGCTGCTTAAACAACGCGTAACGGACTACCTAGTTCTTCGCATTTTTCGATAATGCCAAAGATCAAAGGGCTGAAACAGTTGATCCGGCCCGCTGTATGAGCTGAATTAGCGCTGGGGTTCTCCCATTAAGTTGGACTCACGATTCTATTTCGTTTTAAATGGCAAGAGCTGCTGTGGTGTCTGCTGAACAGTATATTGACCCCCAAAAGTCCGTGCTTTTTTTCTCTCCATAAAAATGCGCACACTTGTGCCCCTTGAATCTCTTTTGAAAGCATATTATTCCTTATTCGTAATTTGTATTTTTCCTGAAATATCGGTGTTGGAGTCAAACTCCGCCGGGTCCGTTGATGAGAAGAGATTCACAGCACAGTCGTGGAGTAGTTGCAAGTCACCAGTTTATTCTCTGACAGGTTGCAAGCTGGGAGCGACTATCTGACATACATTCAGCATGTACAACAAGATGCTCAATCCATAAGTATCGGGGCTGTCCCTTTATAGGCCTTCTGGGGTGTCGCCCCCCGTCTCGGTAATTTTCCCTTCGCGTGACGACAACACATCTTGACATTCGCTCTAGTTAGCCAGTGAGTACATGTTCCTAATTAATCTGTAAGTGCGTGTTTCCTTCTTTTGTTAAGCATAAGCAAAAATAAGTATCCGTTCTATGGTGGGTTCCTGTTTTCCTCGTGTCTCGTACCAGGTCGTCCTGGCCTGCTGGCGTACCGTCAGTTCCCAATTTCTCCAAACTGGGTAGGGAGAGATCACCCCGTCCTACCGGGCTAGTATCGGTTCCCAAATCTACTGTCTACATTATGTTAGACATATTATTAGAATTAGTAAGTAAATTATGATATGATTAACCCCTCATCGGCTTTGGTAGGAATTATAGCAAATTGTCGAGGTTAGCTGGCACCCCAACCCTTTTTTTTATCTGACTCTTTTGTCCATAGTGGCGTGCAACTTGGACAAGTGGCACATTGCAGACAAACGTGCTGCTTGTTAAAGAACAATTGAAGCTCGGTGCATATTTCACTTTCCCACGTGCGTGTACTGCCCGCGCGGCCTCATATGTACATACACATGTGCGGGGACTCAGATGGTCGTAGTCGGCGCATGCGTACAGAAATTATATTCCACAAGACCAGGAGAGGACAGATGTATTGCAAAAATACGAGCAGTTTTAAACAAAAATATACGCAGTTTAGAAAACTGGGTACACTTTTTACGTACAGTTTTAAAGTTGCAGGCTAGGGCGATATCAAATACGCCCCCCCTCCCCGCTCAGCGAAATTTATCACTGAGATTTCAACATGCCAGAATAATGTTGCTTTTGAGAAAAAAAAAAAACTGGTGTAATGTCTGGACTATATGAAATATGTCATATGCGGGTACCTCCGTGACTGAATGCTGCCACCTACTGGAAACAATTTCCTTGGGCCTGCGCAGTCAACGTGCATAATGTCCGCTGGACATAAAAATAAGCTGCACGTGCATCATCCTGTGTACACCCCTGATGACAAAATTTTACGTCTTTCATTCTGTATGCCGACAATAAGCACGCACAAAAATGAGGTATGAACTAGCCTTAGCAGACGACTATCCATAACTGCAGGTAGGTTGAGCCTCCAAGGAATTCTCGGGTCCAACTGTAAGCAGTAGTTGAGCAAGAGCTAAACATCTTCCAAACAAAGCAAAAGAATCTAATATGAATACTATTAAATGACCAGAATGTGCCGGACGAAGAACATAAAGGGAACACAGTAGTGTCAGGGTAGTAGAGAAATTCTTGGAACAGGAAATGTGACATAAATGTGTGTATTGCAGTGGTTTTGTGATGTGTGTGTGTGTTTCATAGCCTGATTGGTCGTTGCCTGAAAGAGTGGTTTTATTTTCTGTTAGCTCCAGGTACAGCTGTTGATATTTCTTATATACAATCATAGATACTTGCCAGAGTATTCATTAGCCTACCCACCTGGCCAGTTTCGTAAGCTTAATCCTTACAAAACTTTCCAAAATATTCTTCTACATAATCAGTGCTCATTCGTGGTGAAAAGGTTGTGACTTAAAGAAATGCCTGTTTAATAGTACTTCTCGCCTGCATATTTCTAGAGAAGTCCGTTTTTGTGTGTAATTGGACCAGTTTGCAGGGCTTGATGTACCTTTTCTGAAGAGCTAGACAAAGCTTTACTTGGGAGGTCCCCCTACCAAGCCCATTGATGACCTTTGATGTTGTCATGGTAACACTCTTTCTACAGATATCTTTATGCAAAAAGATTCCTGACATCTTAAGGGTGCTTTTCCACTGCAGCAGCTACCGTACTTTTTGGTACTTTGAGAAGTTTTCCTCTTCTGCTTTAGCTGCATGCGTTCACCAAGGCAATTGTACTTTTTCATCCTTGCTGTTTAAATCCTAGACAGGTTTCTGAGAGATTGTTTTTTGCTTTATAAATACCACAATATTTTTTTTATAACAAAATTGCATTGCTGGCACACCGGTGCCAGCATATCACCGGTGCCAGCAGTGCCACACTATTTTGTAAGGCATGCACTGGCCAATCATGTAACCCTTGTCTCATTAATATTTATGAGAGATCTCCTACTACCCTGCAAAAAGGACATTTGTTTTAATAAATAGAAATGTTAATGAGAATTTCAGATTTGTGTGTGGGGGGGGGGAGGGGGTGAATCGTTGTATTAAATCACTAACTTAAATTTATTGATAAGCAATTATTTTCATCTTCAGATCAATCGAAAAATTAGTTGTTAGATTAGTCGAATAATCAAAAATAATCGCTAGATCAATCGTTTAAAGAATTATCGTTTGGGACATCACTACTCTGCATAGATCAAAAATATGTTCATTATGCAAGCACTACTTGCATCTGAAAACTTTAAGCGGATATAATTCTTCTTTCCGCATCGTCTTTATGATCAAGATATCCATGTGTGGGTCACCTGTGGTTTCCGAACGATACGTTTGTTACCGCATGGCTCAGTATGTTGACTCCTTTGTTGTGTGTAGAATTTGTGCTCTAGACTTTCAGTTGTCTTCCATCTGTGTTTAGAGGAATTGCTTGAATGAACTGCAGTGTTCATGAATGGAGTAACACCTTCATAAAACTGCAATGCTTCTGTATTAAGTGTATTTTGGGTGTTGGGTGTGCTAAAATCAGATGCTGTTACTCTGGGGTGGGCAGTGAGGGGTTAATGATTGAGTGTGCTTGTATAACTACTAATACCTAATAAAAGACATATGTGCAGACACGCAGCCACTAATATCTAACCGAAGCTTATCTATCATTAATCATAACAGAAAAGGGGAATTGATACTGGCCCTGCACTATGGAAAAAGCTTACCGATGCAGGTGCAGACCAGTAGGAACAGAATGTGCATAAAAACAGGAACTTAGCATTTGACTAATGTTTATATTAATCAGGTGCCAGACAAGAGACGGGGACATGAACCTACTGGCTAAAGGGCTTGCGGGCAGATCATACCATAACGTCAGAACATTATATTAAGACATATTACCTATCAAAAGCTTGCTGGCCAATCAGTCTATAATGTCAGAACAATTATTTTTGGAGATGTACCAGACAGGGTTGAATAAAGGTTGGAATGTGTTGTTGTCATGAGCAGGGGAAAGTACCGAAGAGAAGAAGGGGGGTTGACACCCCAGAAGGCCTATAAAGCCTATAAACCAGCATATACACCAGCCCTTTGCCGATAAGACTGGCAGCCCCTGCGGTGACAGAATAGTTGTAAAGAAATCTAAGTCAGTGTTTCCCCTAGGTTTACAGCTTTGGGGGGGATGGTTTTAGACAGACACCAACACATGGTGTTCATGTGTTTCTTTTAATGACAGCAATGGCAATTCGACCCATAATACACTGTGGTTATAGCGAGTGTGACGTCATGCGGACAAACTCAGATTGCGGATGTTTGTTTTGATCTGCAAATACATTAACTGTTAGGCTTTAAAAGTGATAGCTGATAGCTTAAAATAGTGATAGTGTACAGCAGAACATCCCATTGTGAAACGTATTTATTACCGTGCTTTTCAGGTGGTTGATGCAACATGTTTTCCGACGCGCGCTGTCTGTCCGCTGGTGGGAGTGTACTCACCTGTATATGCGCGCACGTGTCTGTGCGCGTGCATCGGGGCGAAACTCCGCCATGCACGATACAGAGAGCAGAGGAGAATTGTAAACGCACGTTCTATAGGAAAGGTAACCTTAAATGACTTCTGTTGTGATCAGGCGCTATATAGAAATTTTAAATAAAATTAACTTGACCTTCAAGGGGGGCACCCCCCCTAATATAATGGTCGGGGAAACAGTCTTGAAAGTATGGAAGTAAAAATCCATATTCACTTTTCTTTCTCTCAATTCTTTTTGGCAACAGGTACAAGGTAAATATGTGACGTGACTTGAGTAAGACAAAATCTTTTTATTAAAGCAGGTCGTGCCTGGAGTTGATATCAAAGAAACAAGGATATTTCTGTTCCAAAGAAGTGAACCCTGAACAACAGAAAGGCTCAGTTCTTATACATTTCTGTACCCACACTAAAAAGAAATCTTCTAACCCATTGGTTAAGATGAAAAGCATGATGGCCTCAGAGTTGATCCCATGCACCTCCACAATCCTCCAGGCCCAGGGGCAGACAGCCAGTCACCATCAGCTGCATCCCACCCTTGCTTTGTACTTCATTCAATTTTCTATTTAATCCATTCCATGCAATCAAGCAAATCAGATTATGCACATTAATACATATGACTACATAAGAGTATACGCCTGTTTCTCTATTCGGTATTTCTCACTGCTCCCCCGTTATCTTCCTCTCCGGCCTTGAGCAGCCTGCGTAATACATCCCGATCTCTCTGCAAGGCAAAGGATGCACTGATTATTTTCATGAATGGGTGGTTTCAGTTTCCAGTTTCAGGGTCAGCACAAGAGACACGCATACACAGTCTTCTTGCCCAAGACATTGACAGCACTGCCTCTGCACATCTCTCCTGGCCTTACTGGAACCTTCTTTCCACAACTGACATTTGTTTTTGTATCCTATCGTCCTGCAGATGTGACTGTCTTCCATCACGCCTCAGTGAAAGTGGATTCCAATCAGGACAACAGAACTGCAGCCCAATGCAAGCCCCTTCATGGACTGCAAGTGGATGGAATAATCCACCCTTAGGGCAAGGACAGACACCTTATATTTACCAGAATGTTTTTAATGGAGGAGGGGCTAATGGAATTCCTTGCACATATGTTGGTCAACATCAGTCACGATCGCAAACTGGACCAGTATCGCAGTTGATCGGAAATGTCAACAATGAAAGTCATTGGATTTACCAGGTGCTACAGGTGCCAACAGGACCTTCCACAGACATACAAGCAAATTTCAGAGGGACTGCATCCTCCTTGGCATCAAGAAATCAATCTGTGTTTGACGGAAGGGGGTGCACTATTTCAAACGGAGTACAGTGGGGTCCATCATCAAGCTGGAATTCAACAAAGAATGGTTCCATTGTTCCAAATCTGACAGAGTCTTCTGTGGCAGGGCAGAATGGCTCTCTTCACCCTGTCTCAACTAATCCTGTGTTTAACCACCTTGACTGTAGACCTCTGGATAGGGTATGTGATAGGAGGCAAGGGTCCGCAAACTCCTTTTCTCCTTATCCTACGAAACAAGCTGGGGGGACGACTTACGCAAAGATGACAGCCCCAGTGAACCACTGTCCAGCGTATGGTGGGAGTGAGCTGGTCAATAACGGACAGAGGAACGGTCCCATGTCCACCACTGTTGGTTCTGCTGTGACACTGAGTGCTAATCTAAATTACCCAATGGCAGATATGAATAATGGGGTGAATGTGGTGCAAGAAGTAATAAGTGCTCAAAGGCTAACAAATTGTGGTAAGGAGGCAAGCCCAGTTCATGAGGCAGTGACCTGGGGTCATGGTCAAGGTCCACCTGCAGTTGGATCATCAGTACTGCAAAGTTCCAATGCAAACTGCCAGCCTTCCAGTGTTGTGACTTCAAGAACGAACATGCAGGGGTCGCACTCAAACGATTCTACAGTGGCTTTTAACTTAGTCTCTGCCTTCCAGAATAGGGTTGAAGTTTTGCTTAGAAAAATGTATGACCAAGAGAGAATGAGGAGTGAGAAATCAAGTACAGTGCAGGTGGGTGCTAGAGTGCCCAACCAGAAAATTCCTACCACCCCTGAACTGCCTCCCTTGACCATGAATACAAACTCATCTTTTGCAAATGGCACCAGTGACTCAAACAGTATCTCTTATTCCAGCATTGCCCATGTGCAGCCTTCATCTGGTCCATATGACACTAGGCAGTCTCATCAGAACTTACCCAGTAATTCCAGTGGTGGCATCGTTTCTCACGGCTTCCCATATATCCAGCAGCAAAGTGATGCTTCCCCTGCCATGTGCCTGCCCCCACCACCTGCACCACAAGAACAGAAAAGTATTGGCAATAATTCTCAAGGATCAAGAGTTTTGTGTGAGAATGTACCTCATGTTTACCAGAACCAGGAGTTGCCACGTGAGAGATTATGCCAGAATAAAGCTAGAGAGTCCTATGCTTTGGCACAAGTGAATGGCCAAAGGAGTCAGGCAATAACAAATTCAGGGCCCATTCATGGCTTTTGCACCACCACAAATGCCCCCTCAACTTTTGCTGCTGATCCTCATAATTTTAAACGCAGTCACAGTTGGCCTTCAAACCAAGTAGTGCGGTCATGTGGGCAGCTACCAAGTGGGACAAATGCTGCCCCTCCTGCATATCAACAGAGAAAGGAGTACTGTCTGTCAGTGGAAGAGAGCAGACAAAGAAATCATTTTACTGCTGAGAAGAATCCGCCTCCAAGCTATGCTTTGGCCACGGAGCAAAATCAAATGCTTAGAGGCAAGACTACCAAAGTTGACTCTAGTAAGCATTCAGAAAGGTGCCATTACCAAAACAGTTCTGAGGACAGATCCAAATGTCTGAACACTGACACGACTTCTCCAGGATGTATTCGGCAACTTGAGTACACCAAAAAGCAGCACAATCTATCTGCGGCATTGGTGGGGATGAAAGCAATTGCCGTCGTTCCTCCAATATCACAGCAGTCAAGCACTGACCAAACATTTGGTATTGCAAATGAAGATAAAGAATTCAAGATTCAGACTACTTTTCGCAATAAAAATGTTGGAGGAAACCCTGAGAGTGAACCAAATAATCCCGGTTTGTCTCATAATGTAAAAGAGAGCACTCCCACATTTTCTTCACCAGGCAGATCCTTATGTAATGTGATACCTACTGTAGTGGAGACTTCAGATGTGGTTAAAGCACAACTATCAATTCAAAAATCTGCTGTGTTAGCGGAAACCTCTGCTTTCAATGTGGGGAGCAGTCAGCTTCAGCCGAATGCTAACAAAGATGAGGAATTGCCTACAAAGGATATATTTGATTTATCCACAGTTCCTGTCATTTTTTGGACTGTTGACAAACTAAGGGAGTTGATTGCTGAACTGGAAAAAGACTCAACACCACCTCAGTCCAAGATGGAGGAGAGCCCAACACCTCACATTGTTGAAATGTTTTGGGTTGGCTGTGAGCAACATCTCTACAGTGCATTAGATGCAAATTTTGAGGAGACTATTATTGATACTTGGAGGACATGCAGCGAAGATGAAAACCCAGTCATATTTTCGGAGGTTATCTCTGCATACAGTGCGAAATTAGCAGAAGCGTGTCTCATTCTGGGACCAGATGTTTACATTCCTAATGATCCAGTATGTAAGCCACTGTCGCTAAATCTCTGTGAAAGGACAGACAATGTAGACAAACACCATGTAAACCCAAAGAGTACTGAAGTACGAGTAACTGAGAGGGACAATTGGAGAATAAAGCCTGATGAGAAATGCAGAGTGGAAGAACCTGGCACTGACACTGAATTACTGCAGAAACAGCCCCAGACTGAGAAGCTGTGCCCTTTGGTGGGGGCTTCTGATCCCCTGTCTTTGTTACAGATTAAGGTTTTATCACCTACAGAGGCAAGAGAATTGTGCCTTTTTGGTAGCCAGCCAAGTGAAAATGACACCATAGAAGATCCTGAAACTAAAGTGGCTCAAGGATCACATGATCATGACAGTGCAGTGGAGTCTTATTGTTGTCTCTCTCGGTGGATGGAAGTAACTATTGGGTATGAAGCGAGCTCACTCTGCAAGTGCAGAGTTAATTCTCAGGAAGGACAGGAGGTACATGAAATGGTTAATAAAGAGAGAAAGATGGAGGAGGGACCATCCACGACAACTTATTTGGAAAAACACTGTTTTCCACAAGCAGAGCCAAATCGTAGTCCAATACGCCAAACTGAATTGATGGCTTCAGAGTCACCGACTGAGAGTGATGTAACATCTAATGAATGTGCAGCAACTAGCAATGTAATTCAAAATCCTCTTAACTCTGATGTGGACGTGCTTGTAGTAACTAAGGAATCTCGTCCAGAATGCAGTAAAGGAGACGACATGAGTGCAGAAGGCCCTGATGAGCATGCAGTAGAGGAAATCATCTTGGAACTTAAAACCAAGTTGTCTGCTGCTGCTGACAGTGACTTAAAAGTTGAACATGTGAATTGCAATTCTGAAGAAGTTCTTGTAGCACCTGTTGTGACGCCTGAGGAGCAGTGCAGCAAACGGCTTTCTGAACAAAAGTCATGGGGAAGTCAGAGTAGCAAAACTGATACTAAAGATGTGATTTTTGGGGAGATAGGGGCTATTCTTAAAGAAAGTACTTTTGAGGGTATGCAGTTGGTTGACCTTCAAGCGAAGTTGACAGGGACTGTGTCACACTCGTTAAGGCAAAGGATTTTCAGTAGGAAACAGAAAAAATTGAGTGGAAGAAAGAAAATGCAAAAATCCAAATCCAAAGTGCCATTTCAGAAGCCTTTGCCTCAAAGTCTTAAGACCGTACAAAAGGAGGCACCCAGCTCTCGGTCTATCGCCAGCATTAAAACAAACGTGGATTGTAGTCACAGCAATCAACAAAAAACACTTAATGGCACAAATAAACACAAAAAAGACTCTTTGAATGTTGCAAAACTGCATTTCGGCACTTGCAGTAAAAGCAAGCAAGCGAGTGAAAACGAGGCAAAAATTCGGAGAACTGAAAGGTTACAAAGTTTATCTGTGTCATCGGAAGGCATTGCCAGTCTAGCTTTATATGGGTCTTCTCCTCAAAAGCAAAAATACATGGTTGTTTCCAGCACACAGCCTGATCTCAAGCCTCGGACAAGCACCACGACTGGGCCTCCTACAACAATTAGCCTAAAACTTCACTCCCAGAAGAGAGAACTTCTGGAAGAAGACAACCTTCTACAAGGTACTGCAGCAAGACAAAGGGTGTATTCCTCCTGGGAAAGAAGCTTGGTTCAACAACAGGGCGATTTTAAATCAAAGATAAGGCCAACCAAAAACAGCAAGGGTTCACATAAACTTGCCAAAAAACCAAAGGCATCATCAGAAATTGCAAGAATCAGGGAGGGAACCGGCAGCAGTAGGGTGTCTTCCCAAAAAAATGTTTCTCCAGTCACACCCAAGAAATGTCATGAATATGAGAAGAATAAAAGCATGACTTGTACTCACAGAGTCAATTCTGCTTCCGAAACTGTTCAAAAGAAAGATCCTGGTGCATTAAAGCGTGGGATGGTTCAAAACACACGCCAGCCGTCAAAAGAAGATGAACAGCTGCTGTGTTCAAAAGGGAAGAAAAGGAAAATTTCCCAAAAGGGGGGGCCAACTCACATATCGAAGAAGCCACGCAAATCAATCTCCAGCAATTCTGTGGGGAAGAGCAAATACGAGATGGGGAACCCAGCTCTGATGCCAATACCGGTGGAGGAAAAGGTTCTGGAATTCAAGCTGCTGCCCACGTCTTTCAACTTCAGAGAGCCTCAAGAAATATCAGTGATGAAGAAGCCCTCAAAAGAACTTACAGGTAAGCAGAGCAAACCTTGAAGTGAAGAATGCATCCTGATTAGTACTCTTTGGCTGCTGTTGCTCTAATAAGATAAGATATTAAGTTCTGAATTTCTCCAGATTCTGCCTTTCCCCAAAGAGTCGAACACACTCGAACACTGAAGGCGACAACCTGGAAACTGAAAAGTAAGTCTTTTCTTTACAAGTTAATTTGCCAGATTCGCTGTGGATATTGTATTTGTTTTTACATGTGTATGGAAATGCTGAGTTTTTTTTTTTTTTTAATCCATTCACTGCAAATTAATATTTATCTTATAGGTCACTGGCGTTATGGTCCAAATAAAAAAGACCCACCCATCTCTGATGTACCATCACGCAGAGTCGGCCAGTCACACACAACATATGAAGAGTATAAGAAGCGATATTTAGCAAAGGCTGTGAAATGACCGATCTCAGAATGCACTGCACGGATTGACACCGTCCTGCTTTACCACGTTTCCTATGGAAACTCTCATTTCTCTGTTTGAGTAAAGGAATACCTTACAGTTTTGTATTACATTCATAAACAGGAATTCTATTTCTTGTTTTTTTTTTACTTTGGGATTATTGATCTGTACCTGACTTGACAATAAATAAGTACAATAAATATGGTTAATGTTTACCGTTTAGTATAACCTGTTGTAAGTTGTAACCAATAGGTCCATTTGGTTTAGCTGAGTGCCTGGTGTGAAGACTACACGATGGCAAATGGACCTTTGCTTTGCGGTTAATGAGGTGTTACAATATGGACGGTTCAACAGGTGGGTAAGTGGATGGTTTTGGCTTTGAGAGTGAAAAGTACAATTATTTTCCATTTAAAAGAATGCAGCAAAAAGCCATGACCTTTTTAAACCACTGTTCATCTTGTAAATTTAGCAGTGGCGTACATCTTGGACAAGAAAACAAACAATACATGGTTGCACATACAGTAGTAGTTGTGACCCATTACCTTAAACGGAGTCCCTCTAACCTGCTTAGTATTGTGACATTGGCAACCATGGAAAGGCCAGAGGCGAACTGGTCTGGCCAGCCCAGGATCAGCATGGGCAGTCGCTGGGGTGGATAGCAGTAATGCCCATGTGCTGAGGCTGTCCTGGAGCGCCGCTTGCATTTCTAAGGAAGCGCCTGGGAGAGAATGGAGAGAACATCGCCACCTGAAATTCTGGCCGCGACGGCCACAGACTGGATCTGGACTCTGCAACCTGTGCCCCCCCTCCCCCCCCCTACCCCTGCTGGTATCATTGGCCTCTGTTGGTTCAGGTGGTTTTTATTTTCTGTTTCCTGCAACCTCAGTGGGCACCAGATGCCACCTCTGTCCAGGTGACCCAGGCAGCACCTGAGGATGTCACCTCCCTGCCTGCATTGTTACCCCACTGCTTTGCTGCTCCAGTTTGGGGCTTTTTTTGTTTACCTGGTTATATCATTTTGCTTTAAGTCCTTAGACCCTATTCCTCTGCCTCAGTACTAGCATCCCACACCAGTATGTTTTGTTGGGATCAATACCCCGCCGGGTCCGTTGATGAGAAGAGATTCACTGCACAGTCGAGGAGTAGTTGCAAGTCACCAGTTTATTCTGATTATAATCAGGGAGCAACCATCTGACACACATTCAGCATGTACAGGAAGATGCTCAAAACATCGGTATCAGTCCTGTTCGTTTATAGGCCTTCTGGGGTGCTGCCCCCCTCTTTTCGGTACTTTCCACCTACGTGACCACAACAGATTTTGGCTTTTGCTCTAGTTAGTGTGTGTGCATGTTCACAGAAAAGAGTAAAAATAAGTGTCAGCTATATGATGGGTTCCTGTTCTCTTACTGTCTGGTACAAGGTCACCCTGACCTGCTCTCATGCTGACAGTTCCTGATTTTTCCCATCTACATGGTGAGATCACCTCATCCTAGTATCGGTTCCCATGTCTATTTTCTTCATTGGGTTAGAGGCTATATAATTATAAAATTGTTAGTTGCATTCTTAAATGATTAACCCTTCAATTTGCCATCATGACCCTCACCAGGAGAAATGGTGTGAAAGAAATTCAGGCATTACTGTGTTAGCCTTAACTGCTAGTGCACGTGACACCTACAAAGATATTCATGATGTTCTCTCTGGCTGTGAGAAAGAAACCACATCCTTAGAGACCAACAGACTCCTGCATAACACGGATGAAAAATAGTTTGAGACGTCTGTTGACTTAGAATTATCTGCTTGCTCCTTCAATTACTATGACAAGCCCTAAGGCTTTGGTCAAGCTTTAAGCCAATAGCTGAAAAGAAAGACAAGCTTTCCCAAGTAACTTAGAAACCTAAAGCTTTTCTTTTTAACCTACCTAGCCTGCCTGTCTCTTCTCAGACTTGTGTTTGGAAGAACGTCTGTGACCGGGCTCTGAAGATGGATGGAGATGCAGATGGAAGGGTCATAGTGGGCAGGATGTCACTTTTGAAGTGTGTGCAAAAGAGTTCAAAACAAAGCAACCATTGGAGGGTCCACTAAGAGTTCATATAAGTCGGTTTAAATTTGTTAGTGAATTCTATTGTACTTTTTAAATTATACAAACTTTCAATTACTTCTAAGAAAAGCATGGAGTGCCTTACATTTTCTGGTAATGATTAGCCTGGCTAAACAAATGTAAGAAATACTCAACTTGTCCAATGACGCTGACAGATTGGTTGGGAAAGTAGAAAATTTCACCCATGAAAATTTCATCCAGTCACATTGGAACAATGACAGATAAACAGAAACCACCTTGAATGATTGCAGTCAATCAGTTTCATCCACTACAGCTGGCACAATCTCCACATTTGACTGTTATCGTAGGAAAATAATAAGCATTGAAACCAGGTGAGTTTAAGTTCTTCATTCCTTTATTATTGGCGGAGGGTGCATAGACACTTTAGAGAACCAAGCTGAATGCCTCCTATCAGGAGGGAATCCTCTCTTCCTGCGTAATCAATGACCTTGCTCCATCTCTTTTGCTTTCTCATATCTTGGTTATTCACTGTTGGAGTCTGAACTCCGCCGGAGTCCGTTGATGAGAAGAGATTCACTGCACAGTCGAGGAGTAGTTGCAAGTCACCAGTTTATTCTGATTAATCAGGGAGCAACGATCTGACATACATTCAGCATGTACAGGAAGATGCTCGAACCATAGGTGTCGGCTCTAGGTCTTTATAGGCCTTTTGGGGTGTGGCCCCCCTTTTCTGTACTTTTCCACCTACGTGACTACATCATACATTGACATTTACTCTCGTTAGTATGTGTGCCTGTCCCCAGAAAAGAGTAAAAATAAGTGTCAGCTACATGATCGGTTCCTGTTCTCTTACTGTCGGGAACAAGGTCCTCCTAACCTGCTCGGTTCCTGTTCTCTTACTGTCGGGAACAAGGTCATCCTAACCTGCTCTCATGCTAACAGTTCCTGGTTTTTCCCATCTACATGGTGAGATCCCCTCATCCTAGCATCGGTTCCCAGGTCTATTTTCTTCATTGGGTTAGAGGCCATTTGATTATAGAATTATTAGTTGCATTCTTAAATGAATAACCCCACAATCTATTTAGGACGAGGTCATCTTGACCTGTTTTCTTGTCTACCAGTTCCCGTTTTTAGTGTCTGCATTATATTAGACACTGTGTTATTAAACATTAGTAAGTTAATATTTGGATTATAGTGAAACTAACCCTTCATTATTGTCTAATGCACCCCTCATCACTCACCAGGGAGTTCCACCTCTGCTGTCCGTTTTATAGTATTTATTGCTGTCTTTGTTACTTTTTGATTGATTCCGGATCCCTTTCTAATCTGAGCATGAGAGACGTCAAGGATGTGGTAACGTCTTGCAGGAGTGTCTTTTCTCAAGGCATGAAGTACTTCATACACAGGCTATTCACTTTGTAATAAGAATACATGTATAAGTCAGTGCTGATTGGTGCTAAAAATTTTGGAGGGGGTGCAGTTTCGGGGGGGACAAATAAACCGAAGCAGCACCTCCTAGCTCGAGGGAAAAACATCTAAAAACAGACCAAAATTAAATTACTTGCCAGCTGCTGAGTTTGCAAATATTGTCAATCGTGACATAATTAATGCATAATGCTTTACATCATTGGTGGCAAAATATACCAGGAGGGACCCCTCCCCCCGAGTTGGCACAATATGCAGTCACGATTCAGTATTTTTTCTAAGTAACTCTCATTGTAGAAAAGGTTGGTTAGCCCTGACCTATAGGGTTCTCTGGAATGATTTGAATAAGGACACAAAGTCAATCATGATTGTGGAGGAAGCCAGAGACAATGGGGGTTTCATCTGGCACCACTAAGGTGAGAAGGAGGTGAGTGAATCAGCATCTGTATGGGAAGGTGTTTAATTGCTTTCACACTTACCATTGAGTGATGCAATCATCCTGCCCACGCTCACCACCATCCAGGAGATCAATCTCTCAGTGAAAATTCACAAGCAACACCTTTATGCAGTATGCATGGGAGTAAGAACCTGTCCTTGTTTGCATTTTAGCTCCCTGTATATAGATATGCCTATCACGTGAATTTTTCTGTCCTGCAATAAGTTGTTTTACAGGAAATATACTGGTGAGAGATTTCTCAAGTGAATTTCTTGCAGTGGGCCACATTTCAATGGTGTCTCCTGCATAAGAGGAGTATTGTAGCACCAAACCACTGTGGATTGCAAATTGACCAGATAGGTTGGGAGGGAGGCATTATGGGATTGCTGCCACGTTTTAGGCCTCAGGCATGAAGAAACTTGTCTGTATGAGAACGGAACAGAAATGTTACGTAGGCGGAAGCAAAAGTAAAGTAAGGGTTAATCTGTATTTCGCTTTTTGGATTTATTTTGCCGAACCGAAGTATGACTCATTGCGCCCTGTCTCTATTGCTGGTATCCACTTTTGTCTCCTTAAAGGCTCCCCGTCTGTGTGTGAGAGTTAATACTTTACTCTCACTTGTTGTTATACCGCTGTCCTTTTAAGGATCACGCAATAAAAACTAAACTTTGCAGTCCACCTCATGATCACTTCACCACCCAAACACCGTAATATTTTATTTATCCAGCGACATATTTATACTTTATTATTAAATCTCTCCTGCAGATCGATCTTTCATTTTTCTCAGAATAAAAAAAACAATGTAACCTTATTCCACTAATAAGCTGGTAAGTTGTTTCACTGCCAGCACCCCCATTATTAGACGAACTATATCAGTTATGGATTGAATTTTCCAGGTATATAGAAGGTTTGGACGGCATAGCTGTTATGGTGCCACATTCTATGCCCAGCTTTTCTGTGGTGCAGTGCTGGAGCCGTTTTTTCTGGCCCAGGGCCATTTTTTGCGGTGGAAACTGTTGGAGCCGCACTCCTCCAGGTCCATTGATGAGAGGAGACTCACACCAGAGACGCGGAGTAGTTGTAAGTCACCAGTTTATTCTCTGCAACAGATCGTGATCCGGGAGCCACCCTCTGACAGCATGTACAGTAAGAAGCTCAGCATCCCTTTGTTAAGCAAGGACAGCTTACCCTCTCTGCAACTCGGCAACAACGCACCATCTGTTTCAGTTTCACAACTCTCTGGGGCGAGGCCCCCCTGCCCTGCCGGCATGCTGCTCAGTTCCTGTTTCAGTCTG